AAAAAATCATTACAAACCTACTCAAAAGCTAAGCAAATGATCAATATGATTACAAAAAAGATAAATTTCTTTTCTTTTTTTAGAAAAAATTACAATTGATTTGTTAAGTTTGGTTACCAACAAAGTTATAAAGTATTTTCTATAAAATTAGCTGTCATTCAATTATTAAAATTAATTGAAAAATCAGTAGAACAAATTGTTTGGTGCATATAGCTCATTGTCTCAATAATTTCTAATCACTAGCATATCAAAATTTCTGGATTAAATTAATTATTTTCTCGAAAAGAAATCAAATTATTATGATTTACAACCGAAAGTTTGGTTGGTTTTAACATCATCTTGTGGGGTGGTTGTGCTTGGGCCATGGGAATGGTTTTGTATTGTATTTTTGTTGAAAGTGGAAGGAATTTGAGACATGTTCAAACCATATTTCCAAGTCATGATTAATTAATTTTTGAGAGAATTCAGGAACATCTTAGAATTAAAAAAAACAAATTGTCAGTTTCTTGTCTACATGGTGCTCTGTTTCTAGTAATCATGGAATTTGATCTTTGGACAAGATATGGCATATCATACTTTCAGTTGATGTTAAATTTATGGGATTTTTTTGTTCTTATGAGAATAACATGAATACATCCAAGATTCCGTCTTAGCAAGTTGTATTTTTTATTTCTCTTTTTTTTTTTTTTATGAAATTTGAAGAAAAATTTTATTAATGCAGAAGCAAAACATGGACTTACAACCAGGCTACTAAATCAGAGTTTCTAAAGATACCCGACTTAGCTAAAGAGTCGGCAAGGCTATTTGATTCCCTAAGAACATGAAAATGTAATATAAATTAATTTGTTGGAATTTACATGTATAAATTTTGCATGAAAATGTAATAAAAATTTTACATGATAAAATACAAAAGATATTTGTTTTTTATTTTATTTTATTTGTATTATTCTTTTTATTCCCTGTTTGTATGTTATATTATGTAGCCCAATGTTCTAATCTCTCTCTCTCTCTCCCTATATATATATTTATTTATAAATGAAATATTAAAGAGTTTTAAAAATATTAACCCAAGACTTATAAGCTTAATTGGTTTATGCAGTTAATTCTTAATAAATATAAAATTCAAATCTTAATATTTGTAATATTTTTTTTTATTCCTAATTTATAATCTTTTTTATAAAAAAAAATTATAAATATATTTGGCACGAATAAGATAATATGGTATTTACAAAAATTTTAAAATATGTTATTTATGTCTCTCCATTTCATATATTTGGAACCGTTTAGTTACCACAACTCTATTAAAAATTGGTATTTGCGTCCTTTAATTCTCTCTCTATCCACCTTAGTATAGATGTAACCGGTTAGGGCTTAGGGCACAAAATCAAATTAAAATGATAGAGAATATCAAATCTAAGTAAAAGTGGCAAGATCATGCAACTTAGGGTTTCGGGTTATGGCTCATAAGTAGTCATCACTTGGTTCTTGATGCACATCAATCAAATAAAATATGAGGAAACGAAATATATATTTTTTTATATTTGAGATTATTAGTGATTGAATTTAATAAATTTTCTTTGCTCACTTACATTTCTTTGCTTTTCAATCCCTGATCATTCAGATAAACAAATGTATACAAGTTTATAATAATTAGATAATAAAGGTCTTAAGTTTTTATATGAATGTGATCAAATGCTTTAATCATGTCGAAATAAAATTGTAAGGATTATTATTTTATATATCGAGAGATAAAAATAAAAATTTTATGTTAAATTTTAATTGAATTATTATAATAACACAATTTTAAAGTTTGTTAAAGATTAACAACTTGTTTTGGTTCTGACATCAATGGTAAGATTCAAAGCCGGACAAAAATTAGAGGGATACCATTGCCAATTATGCCTCCAAAGATTACAAGAAAACTAAAAAAAATTAATTTCTTTTTTTAAGGCTAATTTGTAGTAGAAAATAGTTAATTTCCCCAAAATTTTACCATTGTTTTTCTCATTCATATTCCATTTCCCCCTACAATCCAAAGGGAAGCAAGAGTTCAAATTGGATTCCCTCTTTTTTTTTTTTTTAATTTCTAAAAAAAAATTGTGGTTAAGCTTTAAAAAGGGGGGAAAAAAGTTGCTTTGCAAAAGCTGCGTTAAGGATGGGCCAATTTTATCACCTTTGGTGGCCTTCCATGTGCTTGTGGAGGTTGCTTTGCTGTCTCACCGACCAATAACAAATGTCTTTCTGTCAATGTGGGACCTACTTTTTTTGGGATCTTGACAATTTTAGGTGTAATTTTTTTATTTTATTGATTTTTTTGAAATTTTTGAAAATTTTTATTTGTTTATGTAATGCTAAAGAGTCCAATAAAATATATCGAATAAGTTCGATTGATTTATTTAATGGATAATATTTAATAAGTATGAAATTAAAATTTTTGTAAATTTTTGAAAATTAAGATTTTTTTATAAAAAAAACACTTTAAATGATCCAAAAAATAATTTTTTTAATTTCTTATTTGTTTATTTATGTGATGCTAAAGATGAAAAAATTAAAAGAGGATTTCTATAATGGGATGAGAGAAAAGATTGTATTTAAATAAATTTATATATAACGTAATTTTATAAAACTTTAAAAAAAATATATAAATTAATAAATATATATAATTCGATATGATTTAATTTTTTTTATTTTTTATATTTTAATCTAAAATTTAATTTAAACTTAATATATACATGTAATATTCAAATTTAATTTAATTAAATAAAAAATTGATTCGAACCAAATTAAATAATATAATTTTGAATCAAATTTCAATTTTTTTCAATTTTTTTTCTCGTCTTAGACCTCAAGCATATATCATTGCTTTCCCTAACAATGAATTTTCTTATCATTGGCATGAAACAAAAATGTCCTACAATTCAAAGTTATTCTATTTGTCCCATTTTGTTTGTTCTTATTTGATTTTTTTATCAAATGAACTCAATTTTCATAATTACTTTTAAAATATTATATTAAATTAAAATTTAAAAATATATTTAAAAAACTTTAAAATTCAAAATTTATAAATCTTATTTATAAATTTTATGATTTTGTTTAAAAAAGTCAAAATTGACTTCATTTGCCCAAAAAACCAATAAAAAAAAAGATACGGGGAGAAAAAATGTATTTTATTTAGCTATAATGCAATCAAATAAAAAGAAGGGAAAAAAAATAAAACAACTTGAAAACTTAACCCTTAGTTTATTTGCCTTTAGGTTAAAACAAAAAAAGAAATGTTAGGCAGAAAAGGCCAGCAAATAGAACAACAAGAATAAAAAGACAAAGCAAGTGGCAAAGATCAGAGAGATTGAACGCAAGTGGGGTAGAACATGGTGGCATAGTAATGTCAAGCAGGGTCGGTGATAGTGAAACCACCCCAACGTTAACTTAGATTTATAATTTTTTTTTTAGGTACAGTTTTAGATTTTACAACCAAAAGGCAATTTTTATTTTTATTTTTATTTATAAAAGTCACACAAAGTTGTAATTATAAAAATTTGAATTTAAATTTATTAGATATTATTTTTAAATATAATTGTGTCATAGTGTACATGCTTGAACACCGAAAGAATCAATCTTTGAATTTAGAAGCTATATAAGATTAGAGTTTGAGTTTTGACTTGTAAAAATTACATGAATCAATAAATTTAATTTTTAAATTTTTATTTTTTTTAGATTTTAAGATTATAATTTGATCATGAGATTTCATAATTAAAATCTCTTTTTCTAATTGTTGAAGTGATCAATTTTATAAATTAACAATTCTATAGATAAATCACATTATTCTTCGAAAAAGAAACCAAAATCATGTATGTTACGAGCTATGGTTTGAGATTGTTCTATTTTTACTAATTAAAACCTTTTTCTAACAATGAAAGCAATCAAGATAATAATTACTTGTATGTTGCTTATAATGGCAAGTTATAAGTTTACCTATATATCAATTTAAACAAGGGACAAAAATCTAAGTTTCAAGTTATTTATCAACTTATACAAGAAATAAAGTTTAGGTACCTTTATAATGATAATCACAAATCACCTCACTTATAAAAGAAAGTCATCTCAAACTCAGAATTGTCTTTTTCCTCCAATGTTTTTTTCTATATATAGAAGGTGCTATTTATTTTTTGCATTTTAGGTTGTAAAAAATTGAACGTTGATAATTAAAATTAAAATTAAAATTTTAATATTTTATTAACGGACCACAATAATAATTTAAAGATGCTATGATATGATTGATATATGAGATAATGGTTTGATGACACCTATCATTTTTTAAATGCCTAAGAAAATTTTTAAATGTAAAGTTTAGCGGTAAAATAACTAATATATAAATATATATTATCTAATCTCATGAAATTAGAAATAATCCTCTCTTTTTGGAGAGAGTAGTAATTCTCTTCACAATTCAATCCCGAATCCTCTTTTAACGTATAAATTAAATATACGATAATCATCCTCTCCTACCATCATTTATTGCACAAACCTTGCCCTTTACGTATTATATTAAAAAATGATTTTACATATAATGTAATATTCTCATCAAATTCAACAAGAGTAATATATTAATTATAAATTATTTTCATTTATAAATTATAATTTTTTATTTCAAAAGTTTAAACATTAAACCTTGAAGTTAATTATTTGTGAAATTAATTATTAAAAATATAATAATTTTAAAAATGTAGCGATCAAAAAATAAAAAAATCTGCAAGGTTAATCTAATTGATAAGGAAAAGGATTTTTTTTAAAATCAAAATTTGATTTCAGTTAAAAGTATTTTAGAAGTAAAATTCTGAACGTACACTGATATTATACATTGTGAAACAAAATTAAACTCAAATAAAACATAAAGAATCTTATTATAAAAAAAATTTAGAAAAGGAAAGAAAGGAAAGTAATAAAAAATACAAGAAAGGCCTCATGTCTAGCACATTCTCTCCCCATATATACCCCCACACTGTCATAACCTATGCTCATTTCTCAACAAAAAGAACAAAACACACACTCTCTCTCTTCTGTCATAGCATTTGCAAATCCAATTTTCTTTTGGTTCTTTAAGCCAATTTATCAGTTGCAAGGGCATGGCAAAGGAAGGAAAGCATGGCTCATTTCATGCCAAGGACTATTTTGACCCCCCACCAGCACCTTTGATTGATGCAGCAGAACTGAAGAAATGGTCATTTTACAGGGCTTTGATAGCTGAGTTCATTGCAACTCTGCTCTTCCTTTACATCACAGTCTTGACTGTGATTGGCTACAAGAGCCAGATTGCTATCTCCTCTGACTCCTGTGCTGGTGTGGGTGTTCTTGGTGTTGCTTGGGCCTTTGGTGGCATGATCTTCATTCTTGTTTACTGCACTGCTGGTATTTCTGGTATGTTAATTATTTATTTATTTCCCTTTTTTCTTTGCCTTGGGTTTCATTTTGTTTTTCTAGATGGAAAATGGTTCACTATTTTCTCTTGGACCTAATTTTCATATATAGAATTTCTTGAAAACACTGGAATTTAGAACATTTATTTTTTCTTTATATTTGTATTTTTTTCATATTGTTTTTATAACACTTCAACGGTTAAAACTTCACAGTGTAAAGTAATTTTGGTTCACAACAAGTCAACTGATTTCTTACCATAATTGACTAATTTTTCTTGCCATGCAACAACAGGGGGTCACATTAACCCAGCAGTGACATTTGGCCTGTTGTTGGCTCGCAAGGTCTCATTGATCCGAGCCATTGCCTACATGGTGGCTCAGTCCTTGGGAGCCATCTGTGGGGTTGGCCTGGTTAAGGCTTTCCAAAAATCATACTACAATAGGAATGGAGGTGGAGCCAACACTCTTGCAGATGGCTACAGCACTGGTACTGGTTTGGGTGCAGAAATTATTGGAACCTTTGTTTTGGTTTACACTGTTTTTTCTGCTACTGATCCCAAGAGAAAAGCTAGAGACTCCCATGTTCCAGTAAGTTTCTTAACATTTCCTTCCATTCTAATTAATTTTCTTCAAAGCCTTCTTACAAATAAATTTTACTCGAAAATTCAAGATAAATGAATTGTTCAAGCAAAATTGAGTCTAATTTTTTACAGATCGTGCATTTGAGATTAGTTTCAACTAAATTTTACCATAAAAAGTATATGATCTACACTATATTTTCACTCTCATTATTTGACATGTAAAATGATGATGGAATCATTAGGGAAAAGCTTTTAATATTGGTATTGATAGATATTCCAAGGTTCTGAAGATTCATATATAAAAAAAAATATTATAGGGAGATAATTCTAATTTTTAATTATATAAAAAGTATTTATTTTTGGATCCAAAGATAACGAGGATGTGAATCAGATTTTCTACCCTATTGACAGATGAAGTTAAAGAAACGGACACTGGCATGAACTGGCCAATCTTAACTCTGTGGTTACCAATAGAGGGAATTGTAATCTTTACTTACACAAAGATTTCGTTTTTTAATCCAAAATTTAATATAATTGATTCATATAATTATTTTTAAAAAATAATTTTAAATTTTAATATCTATAATATTTTCTCTGTTTTATTTTAAATTTGGACCAAAAGTTTTGATTCCACCTTTTTTTTAGTACTTATATTTGCTTTCTGGTTTTGTCTTTTGCCCTTAACAAAAGGGCAATGCTTTGTTTCATCAAATCTTTTTGGTCGTTTTCAGTCCCAAAGTGAATGGTGGGCTTAAATCCCAATTTAAAAATCAAAGCAAAAACGCCTTTCATGTGTCTTCAGAGGACAATGTCCTTTTTAATTTCCCCCTTTACTAAATCTGTGAGAAATTTTCATCTGCTTAATTTTGTTTAAAGTATAATTTTAGCTTGTGGGCCTTTTTCATGCTTCACATGTTTGTAAGTGTCACAAGCACATAGTTCTAATTCATGTAATTTTTATTCCTATTTTTATAATTTTTTGATTTAATCACATTAGCTTGTGAATAAATTTTTAATAATGTTTTTTTCCGGTATATATAAAGATTTGTTAGGTATTTACCTACAAAATAATTTGGAAAAAAAAAAAAAACACAATAAGAGATAATCTCCAATCAATTCAACAGGGACGAGAACATAATTTAATGTTGTTAATTAAGTTTTAAATCTTCAAATTAACTCAACATATACATTATTTAGTGTATTAAAAAAAGTCCTTGCAAAAACATCATTTCAATTTTATCACAAATCGATTGCACAATTATCAATAATGCATTACAAATGATTTGACTTATTGTGCTAATTTTTTTAAGGTATTGGCTCCACTTCCAATTGGGTTTGCTGTTTTCATGGTTCACTTGGCTACCATCCCAATCACCGGCACTGGCATCAACCCTGCTAGGAGTATTGGAGCTGCTGTTATCTACAACAACAAGAAGGCTTGGGATGATCATGTTAGTATAATTCGGATCAATAATTTCCAAAGCTCTTCATTTTTATTTTTTATTATGTATTTCTTTTTATATATATAATATGGTCAGAGACATTCTCAGATTATATATTTCTTTTTAACGACATTCTTTTTTTTTTTCAGTGGATTTTCTGGGTTGGTCCCATGATTGGAGCAGCCATTGCAGCTTTCTATCACCAATTTATCTTGAGAGCAGGAGCTGCTAAGGCTCTTGGGTCATTCAGGAGCCAGACCCATGTTTGATCATCTTTGACAAGTCTTTTTTAGAGACCAAAAAATGTTTAGGAGAAAGTGAAAATAATGAGGGAAGTTGCTTTTCTGATTTATGTATGGTTATTGTTGTTCCCCAAATCCCCCTTTTTTTTTCAACTTCCCTTTGTGGAAGTTGAAAAAACTAATCGGAGACTGAAGGTCATGAAAATGTAGATATAAGTACTCTTTGAGAAGTGTGGGGCTTCAATATCGCTTTTGTCATTTCAAGCACTTTCCTTACAATTTGCTTCTGTTCTTATTTTGTACTATATACTTATGCTTTTAAGAAAAGTGTTGGTCATTGTTATCTTTAGTTTACTTATGTCACTTATTGCTCATTGGTTAAGGGTTCATTATCAAATTCCTACTCACTCCAAACATGAAAATGATACAAAAATTTTTGTACACCCTCAACATTTTGATCATCATGTCAGCATCTATTAATTGTCATGTTGACGACCACCTAAACTAATTCAATACTTATCTAATATCGTATGAGTTAATTGGTCACGTCAACATAAACTTAATAAAAAAGACGAGAATGTGCCACGGATATCTCATTCTGAACCCTTCACTTTCATTCAATTTACTTTTATCTGTTCGCTTATCTTTTTTCTCTCTTCTTTCGCTTTACATTCCCTCACCTACTACAATTTATTCGCACCTCAAAATCCTATTTTCAATGTCTCTTGATCGTTCTCTCTATTACAGATCACGCTAGCTTTTAAATTAACCATTTAATTCGCTTTCCAACAAATACTTAGTCACCAAACTTAAAAAAACCATCAATGAAAATATTGGGTTTTTTTTAATTATTATTATTCAAAGAAGTAAAAGGAAAAAAAAAAAGTAGCATGAGAATCCTCATTGAAAGCAAAATGCAAAAGGATTTGCTCTACTCTTGCGAAGAAAAAAGTGTTGGAATATTACTATTTATATGGCAATTTCTCCTTTTGAAGATAAGGAAAGTGCTTATAGTACTATATTCTGGCATGATTGTATTTCATTTTGCAAGCTAGTTTAAAATTATGAGTGTTTGAAATTAATGAGAGTTGAGTAAAGGAATAGAATAAGCTCTTCTTCCTTGACCTTCACCGATAATATTAATGCAAATTGTTTATTAAACAAGTTACATTACATCGTACGTTTAACCCGTTAGTTAAACAAATTTTTCTAAATAAAATGACATAACATGATACAATTAACTTATTAAGTCACAATTAATTTATAAATTTTAAATAAATGAATTTAGCAAATTAGACATATGGAGTTACATTTAAACTAACATGTTAAAATGAGTCACACATAAATTAGATATGGATTAATTCATATTAAATACGAAAAGTTTCATGTTGTACCAAATCTAATGAATATATGAAAAATTATTTTTTTATAGCCACTCAATTAATTCGAATACAAAAAACAAAAAAAAAAAAACAGTTTTTTGTCACTAAAACCAACCATCGTTTAGTGCCACTCCTAATTTTTAACCCAACCAAATTTCATAGCATAAAAATGCTACAGAATTTAATGATGTAGTGGGGCTTGGTATGAAAATCAGAATTCCGAGAGGTGTCCAAAACAAATTGTTGGTCGACCTTACCAAATCAAGACGAAAGAAATTGCTTGATTTGGTGAAATCAGTCCACATGACCATTGCACATTTAGACATATTATTAATGTATTTTGTTTGATGTCAACCTCGAATTTCTAAAACATATGGACCCAATTTCTTGTATGTCCTTCTCATTATTTCAAGGTACAATTATCTTTTATGGCCACAACTTAATTGCATTATTCTTGATTTTGTTCATGTAATATGCTTATTTATGCAGTTATTATTGAATCAAATATTTGAATGTATATCATACTCATTTATTGATGAATCAATCAATATTAACTTCGCCTAATTATCTATTTGTGTTTAGAATTTTTAATTAACAATTAAATTAAATTTTGAATTTATAGTAATTGATATATATATATATATATATCTCGTTGACACAATAATAAGCTTTTAACTTCCAAGGTCTAATTATATATATCTTTATATATATATATATATAATTACACGTAGATTTAGTGATTTGTGTATTTGTATTATGTAAAATATTAAAATTTATGTATTTATATAATATTTTATATGAAAATTATGTATCATAATTTGTATCGACATAAAAATATAAAATATAAAATATTTAATTTTATTAAATATATATAATTATTACTAAAATTTTAAAATTTATTATACTTTTATATATTTTTCATATCGAATTCGTATTTTATTGTTTTATTTTAGATTTTCAAATTTAATCAGTGGGCTGTTTAGACCTTGGAAGTGAAGTCCATTATTGTGTCAATGATAGACAAATTGACATGGTTTCTTGGGCCAGGGTAGAGTATTCCAACATGGCTAGGCAAGGCTTTTTTGGATAGGCTCACTTCATTTTTCACTTTAACAATAACAGGCTTGAACAAAAATCTCTACTTGACGACCAAAAAGATGCAAAATATAGCTTTATTAGCTGGCCCTCTCCCATCCAACCACCAAAAGAAATCATAGCTTCATTTTTCCCACAGAAATAAGCAACCCATGCAATCGCTTCCATCATTTTGTCTAAAGCTTTTGAAAGAGCTAATATCTAAACACTAAGCAACTTTTTTTTCTTGCAAAGCAAACACTCCAAGCAACAAAGTTTCAAAATGGCACCTATCACTACAATCTTCTTCTTATTCATTGACGCTTTTTCTTTTGTTTTCAGTCCTGCATTCCATATTCTTGCTTCTCAGAACTCTTTGGCCATATCGATGCCCGGATTGAATTTCTTGCATCCAGATTTTTCAACCTTTCAACTCTTGCAAATTGGATTTTCACTTTCATGAAAAGGGTAATTTATACAGGGGAAGAGCTGCTCAGCTGCAGCCTGCAGGCTTAGTTTGGTGCCATACACAAATAAAGGCTTTTCAAACCAAGAAGTTTCAGTTTCAGCTGATGAATGTAAAAATTTTATTTGAATTTTAATCAATGGTCCATTTATTTGATCTTACATTATATGGAAATTTCATATTCTTGATGCTTAAAATTTTCTTTTTTTATTTGTTTTACTTCTTTCGTCCCATTAATATAATTTTAGTTCAAACTTTTTGAATTAAAATTTTTCAATTTTGTTCTTAATTATTTTAAAATATTTTTAATAATTTGAAGCTCACAAATAGTGTATATTCAGAAACTATTCCATTCATGTTAAATATTATAAGGACAAAGGAATATTGCTTCTAGTGTGTAATTGAACAAGTGAATTAAAAAAAGTTGAGTCACATGTACATTAACAACTTCATATAAAATTGGTATTACAAAATGCACCTTTACTTCAAACAAAATTTGTCTTTCAAATATACATACACATCTAGTAAAACCCATTGTACTGTTTTAGGCAAATTTGGTTGGGAAGGCCTCTCTCTCGAATTGGTTGTGAGAAATTATTTCATTCATTGTGAGTGAAATTCTTAGATTTTTCAGAAAAAAATAGTAGAATGCCATATGCCTTATGAAGAATTAAAAATAAAAAAAATTAATTAGAAAAAAGAACATCTATTAAAATTTTAATTCATTTATGAAATTAAAAAATTTCATTAATGATGTCTCCGAAATGAACCGTATGTGTTACTTGTTGCCATATCCAAGATTTATACTATATATGCAATTGTCTTTTTCAAAATGTTTACATTACTAATTAAATCCTAATTTAAAGAAAACCCAAGAATGAGGTGCAAATGCAATTCTTGCTTTAAAAATTTTATTCCCTTCATGATGAATGGTGAAGCTTCCTATTTATTTTCAAAGTGCCTTAATGGGAAAAAATTAGTTAATATTTTCATATCTTAGTGACATGTATCATAGAAATATCCTTAACCTTAGAAAGTTGGAAGTGGTTAATTTAGGAATAGGCCGATAAGATCAAATTTTGCAATAAGTTAGTATCTGTCAAATTGACATGTTAAAAGCAAAAGGTAGAAGCTTCTTTAAAAATAAATAAATAAATAAAAAAAATATTTTTTTGTTGATTTTTAGGATTTACTAAAGTACATTTTTTTAATCGATTTAAATAAATTTATTTATTTTAAATTTAACAAATTCACGGGAAATTAAGTTTTTATAACTTTTCAACACATAAAAATAAAAGCTTTGATTATATAAAAAAATAAAACCTTAAAAAAAATTTAAAAATTTAATTAACAAAAATTAAAGGTGGAAAGAGGATGAATAGTTTGGATGGAGTAATTTTGAGTTTTTCTTTTTTTTTTTTGTTAATTAATTTTGAGTTTAAAAACTAGTTTCATGTTTGAATTTTTTCAGATTTTGATCGTTTTAAATTTCAAATACTATTCTGAGTTTCAAGTTATTTAGATAATTAATTTTTAAATAAATTTAAGATTGGTTTGATTGAATTTTGAAAATAATTTTGTTTTTGTTTATTATTTTTAATTAATTAAAATTTAAAATAAAAATAAAAATTACGACGTCGTTTAGAAGCAGTCTTTCAAAGTTTCAGTCTTTCTCAGTTTTTCACCGTCTAAAGTCATTGACTCCCGGCTTTTAGTTTTTACAGTTCACTTCTTCTCTGTCTGAACATTCAAAGGATCAAAAGAGAAAGGAAACAGTGAGTGACAGATGCATCTATGGCCATCGGTTCGAATAAGAGATTCATTTAAAATCGCATATTTAAGAGAACTATAATGGAAGCAGAGAAACGATCTTCTTCTTCTCCAACGACCCAAGCGACCAACAAAAACTCTTGAATGACCAAGAAGCTGCTGACTCTGAATCTTCTTCTTCCAATTCAGCTATATGTTTTATTCTGATATGTAGAGCGATTTTCATGGTCCTTTCTTGCTGTTACTGTTGCTACTGCTGTGAAGGTAACTCTAAATTTCCCCTTTCACTTTTCCTTTTGGAAAAATTTTGTGGAAAAGATTTGTTTTTTCGACATGGGTTTTTTTTTTATTTTTATATCGGTTTATTGTGTTTTTGGACTTTGGTTTTTGATTTTATGTGATTTTATTGTCTCGTTCTAGGCTGTAGCCATTCTTGTTCTTGGCTTCATGTAGGCTTATTTTATGTTTTATGATTGATTTAATGTGATTTTAGTTGTCTGCCTGTTTCTTTGGAGATGAGCTCTCTGAATTCATGGCATTTGCTTTGTATTACCTTTGCTTTTAGTTTTATATGATGAATCTTAAATTTTTTTTTAGTTTTATATGATGAATGATCAAACTTTTATTTGTGTTTTCATTGATTGGCTTAGGAAAGTTAGGTGGTGCTGTATGACGTTCTGAATTTAATAATTCCAACTGAATTTAATAATTCTAACCTAGCAATTCAGTAAAAATTTTAAAGTAATTCTTCACTGATTCATTTATGTGTCTTGTATCTTAAACTGAAAGGCTTGCAGCCAGTTAAACATGACTTGCTCTCCCTTGTGTATTATTTGTAAAATTACTCAATCACTCAAATGGAGTGATGGATCCTATGCTTATAGTCTAATTCACCGATGAGCGTGTTAATGATCCTTGGCTGGGTTCATATTTCAGTGATCCTGCTAAAAGAAAATGGCTTAGGCTGTTTTGGTTAGCATCATAATAATGCAAAGCATTGTAGGGTCAAAGCTTGTGCTAGTATTGTTAAGTTTGTCACTGAGTTTGGTATTACAAACAAGTGAAAATTGAGTTGTGTTTGGTTCAACCTCAAGCTTGCTTGTGGATGAAGAGATGAGTGAATTGAGCAAACGAAGATAGCCCAATTTTTGCTCCTCAAATGGGAGATATAAACTTAATTTTTGGAAGCCTGAGAGCCCAAATGTACAAAGACAATGGAGTTTGAAGATGGAGAATTTCAGTAGTCATAGCACTAGTTATAGTTGAGAATAGTGTTTGAAATTTGTGGAAATTATTTTTCTTATCCATGTTCTGCTTCAAATTTAATGAGATGCAAATCCTGAAATTGATTAGTTGGACATTTATTACCCACCATTTTAAGCTCTCAGTAGGTTGATCATTCCTTCTGTTACACCTACTTTGTAACATGTACTGGTCTAATAATAGAGATTTAGGGAAATTTTGAAAACAATCTAATGCTAGTTCTTCTCATTCAGTGTATGAAATTTAGAATAATGGTGATTTCATCTATGAACCCTTCACCGAGGATGTTTATCATGTGGTTTTACCATGGAAAGTTCCAGAGGGGCCCATATCAATTTGGTTAGACTGCCTATAACATAGTGGTAGTTGAATGATGGTTAGACTGCCTATCATTGGATGTTGATGTTCTTAACAAGTATCAGAGAAGCATCTCAAAGCTGGTTTTCTTTTGATGTTGCTTCTGGGAGTTGTTGCACTTGAATGATGAGTCTTTGGGGAAGGGAATATTCTGGCAATGCTTGCAATTTTTTCTTTCAAAAAAAGCTGCCTGAATTGATGCTTCTATGCTAACAGCCATGTGGTCTGTTGGTAGAGTGCTGAATTATTAATTTTAGTGATCAAGATTCAATCCTTGCCAGTATCAAGTACCAACAAAAAAAAAAATGGAATTGATGCTTCCAGGGATGTCTATATATGCACAATGAATCCCTTTATTTTTTTCTTCTAAAGGCAAATAAGTAGAAGAAAGTTAAGCTTTTGAACTTTAAAGATTTGTAACTTTGCATATTCCTTTTTCTCTTTGTTTTTGTTCAGTGAGCCTCGGCAAGAATCAAAGATACTGGCAATAGCAACCTGCCAACACTCATATAAAGTTTAACTTGTTTAAACAAAAACAAGAAGCCTGAAAAGCATTGTGTGAAGCTTTGCTTCCATTGAAGCATGTTTAATTCTTGTGATGATCTTTATTTTACTATACCAGATATTCTTTGAATTTCAGTGTTCCATATTCTGTTTCTGCAATTTCTTTGATCTTTGCTACTCAATCACATTTCACCACTGAAGGATGTCAACTTTCAGTGTTCTCTTCATACCGGCTGCTTATTTTCCTTTTTTTTTATTTGTCTATTTTTCCCTTAACAGCTATATATATATATATATTATATATATATATGAGAAAGAATCAACTTATATAGTGTAAAACTAAAAAAGTTTTACATATTTTTTTAACCTTTGATTTCAAGAGATCCAAGGGATGAGAGAGACAAGTAAAAATAGGAAAAAATGGTTTAATTTTATCCTTTGGATCTATTGAAATCAATGCTCAGAAAAATGTGGTAAACATTTTTAATTTTACAAGTTGATCTCTCCTATATATATATATATATATATATATATGCACCTTTGCTTGCTTGTGCATTGTTTAATTTGTTATCATCACCTAATATTGTGAATTAACCCTTTCAGATTGTATTGATCAAGAAGACAACTGATGCAGAGGTCATGGTTTTGGTCACTGAATCCATCCCTTGACCGCAGAATAGTACAAAATGACATAGCAAGAAATAATCTGAATAATATTTTGTTCAAACAGAATAGAAGTGATTGTATTCTTCATGGTAGTAGTCTGGTGACAATCTTTGGCCTATTTTTCTCTTATAAGACATATTTTTGATTGTTATAGGAGTATGAATGCATTTGACTCGAACTCTTCTTCTGCCACCCGTCACGTGATCTTTTGACGGAATGCTGACTTAATCAAATTCGTACAGCTTCAAATACCAAAAAAAAGAAAAAAAGGAATGCATTCATCGGGATCTTCATCTCCAGTCTAGGAGTAATGTATGGTTTGCTGGATCCTCAGATAATCTGTCAATGTGTTATATTTGTCGAAACTGTAAACTTTTGTTAATTCAACTGGAAATTACACCTTCCAAAGGTAGTGGCAGCTAACCCCTTGCAGATTTTTCTTGTTAAAAACAAGTCATCTCAACTCTCAAACAAGGTCCCTCTCCTTTGCGGGTTAAAGAATCAGTGTAACGATAGTGTTTGACAATTAGATAAAGGAAAATGCCATGAATCTCACGTCGAAGAGAGATGGACTGGTCTTTTGCTTACAAGTCACGAGTCTTTCTTCATCCAATAAATATATCTTTTGGATTGAAAACGTGGTTCCTGAGGGTTAAACTTGCCAGCAACCTTTAGAATAACCAACGATTCTAGTAAACCAACAATTCTTGTAACGAGAAAGGTTAGTCTGTACTCACCAACTACCCCCTTTAATTGAATTACGACGTCAAACCACCTCTCCTTTTAAAACTTAAATGCACACGTCTCCAAATTTATACTTTTTTTGTTTTATTGGTTTAATACATGAACTTTTATACTCAGACAAAATTAAAAGATTAACAAATCAAGGTATTTGTCATATATTTTAATTAGATCCTTTTATTGTTGAGTTAAATTTCGATTTGTTTAAAGGTTATTAAGTGATTAATCGAGTTGAATTTGAATTTTATATTATTAGATTCAAAATTTTGATTTTATGAAATTTTTTAATTTTTAAAATTTTTATATAAACATTTGTTTACATTTTTATTAACTTTTATTTAAGATTTTAAGAAGTAATTGAGTCAGAGTTTAAATATTTTGTTGACCTGAGATAGGGTACTAAAAATAAAAATTGATGGAGCTCAAATTTGATACTGTTTCATCTCGTTTAATTTTTTGAATGGAATTTATAATTGAATTAAATTCGTATCTCAAATAATCAACAAAGATTCACAATCAATTCACTTACCTGTTATGCTCAAATGGATGGTGTGCATGACAAAAGAATTGTACATAAAGCAGCAGATCAAGCTTCCCTTACACTATGACTCAATAAGTATCCCCCAACGCTCAGCAGAAACTGTACCCTAAAAAACTTAAAAACTTTGTTGAAGTTATCCTCTAACACTGGCCCATTTTAGCAAAAATGGCGCGGCATCCGATAGCTGAAGCAAACGAGAAGAGCCCTTTCGGCATCTTGACTCCGGACGAGTTCTACGCGCGCCACTCAGTGAGTCACTCCTCCGAGATCATCACCAACGCCCGTGGCCTCAAGCTCTTCACTCAGTGGTGGACACCACTCGACACTCCGATCTCTGGCATCGTTGCCGTTGTCCACGGATTCACCGGTGAGTCAAGCTGGTTCGTCCAACTAACCTCCGTTCTGTTCGCGAAATCGGGATTTGCCGCGTGTGCGATCGATCACCAGGGTCATGGCTTCTCCGAAGGCCTCGACGGACTCGAAGCTCATATTCCCAACATCGACAGTGTTATCGACGATTGTATTCAGTTTTTTGACTCTTTCCGTGCTCGTCACTCGCCGGATTTGCCGGTGTTTTTGTACTCGGAATCGCTTGGCGGTGCCATCGCGCTTTATATCTCGCTCAGACAAAAAGGCACGTGGGATGGCTTGATTCTCAGCGGCGCTATGTGCGGGATAAGCGCTAAATTCAAGCCTCCATGGCCGTTGGAACATTTTTTATTCATAGTCGCCAAGCTTATCCCCACCTGGCGAGTGGTTCCGACGCGCGGGTCTTTACCGGATGTTTCATTCAAAGAACCGTGGAAGAGGAAGTTGGCCATAGCCAGTCCTAGGCTAACAGTGGCGAGGCCACGCGCTGCCACAGCATACGAGCTCATTCGTATATGCAACGACTTGCAAGGGAGGTTTGAGGAAGTGCATGTTCCATTGCTGATTGTTCACGGTGGTGATGACGTGGTTTGTGATCCGGCTTGCGTGGAGGAGCTTTATAAACGCGCTGCTAGCGTGGACAAGACATTGAGGTTTCATCCGGGGATGTGGCACCAATTGGTTGGGGAGCCGGAGGAAGGTGTGGAGTTAGTCTTTGGTGAAATAGTGGAGTGGCTTAAGAGTAGAGCTTCACGAGCCGCCGAGGCCAAGAGTGTCGGTGTTCACGCGCCACCTTTGGTGGCAATGGTAGCGGATAGTAGGGTTGCTAATTAGTTGGGTATCTTAAATTTCAAAGTAACAGAATCCTTATTTTGCCAGTTACAGCCATTAACAAATAGAGACTGCTAGTATTAATTTCATAAAAGTCAGAAACTCTTGAACGTGACTAATAAATGACACGTGTCCACCTGTTATACGTCCATATTCTTGTTACCAATGCTTTAATCTGTATCAAATTCCAACACATTTCAGTTGCCGAATTTGGCTATGCTGTTTTTGTGTGTGTCACACTTCCTTATGCTCACAGATTTTGTCACACATTTCCTTTGTCTGCATAAAATATCTTTGTCTTTGTGTGTGTTTGTCTGAATTTGCTTTACCGATGGCTCCCATGAAAACCCTTCTCACTCTCTATTTGTATTGTTCTTTTAACCCTTTCCCAAGGATCTAAAGACTCTAAACTTGATGACCTTGAAGAAGACGTTGCATTTCTTGAGTCACAAGAAACCAATGACTCACAACAATCCCATGAAAACTTTGGTACTATTTTGGGTGACCTACGGAATAATTTTACCAATCTTGAAGAGCAATTGTCATGGCCTAGAGTCGATGAGAAAGATGTGATTGTACTAAACAAAGAGAAATTCAGCGAGTTCATTGAGAAAAATGGGTATATCCTGGTGGAGTTTTATGCGCCATGGTGCTGGCATGATCAGGCACTGACATCGTAGTATGCTGGTCACAGAAGGGAGAAGTTGTGTTGGCAAAGGTTGATTGCACACAAAAGGCTGAGCTGCTGCAAAAGTTTGATATAAAGGGGTTCCCTACTTTGTTTCTCTTTGTTGAAGGAGTTCATAAGGCTTGTGAGGGTAAAAGAACTAAGTTGTTTATATGTAAATAAAAGTGTAGATATTCTTGTGTATTGTTGCATATTTTTGGTTGATATGGAAAGGTTTGAGGAGAATCCGAAATTTAGCTCGTTTCATATAACTACCCTTAAGAAATGACATCTAGCAATTTGGAATTCGAATCTTTATTCATGCAACCCTTTCTTTATTTCAAGTTATGACCTCTTTTGTATAATAAAAACTAAAAAGGGTTGGAGGAAAAAATTCACTTTGGATTATACAAAATGATAGCAAACAAATGCAAAATTGGCTTTAGTTTCTTATGAAATTCAGTAATCAAGCTAGAAGAGAATTTGATTTACTTGATGCGAAACAAGATGTCTTGATAATTGAATGTGAATTTTTTAGCGTATTGAAAGGCTGATAGTTTGATGCATTTCCTTATTCAGGGATGGTATTGTGACCTGGGTGAAGAAGAAAACAAGACATGGTGTTTACAACATAACAACAAGCGAAGAAACCATTCTGGCTACTGAAGCTACAGTTGTTTTGGGATTTATTGATTCTTTAGTGGTATTTTATTATCAGATCATTCAATTTCTCTGTTTCATCAGTTTTAACCTACTCAAGTCAATGATTAAAGGGGCAGATTCAGGATTTTTCTCCAAGATTTCTACTTATAATAGATAAAAAAACTACACGGACTTGCCAATCAAAGGAAAGAATGTCCTGAGAAAAATTTTAGGGATATCCAGGGAAAATTTTTTATTCAAATTCCCCATTTGGATCTGTCTCTGTTTATCAATACATGCAACTTTGGTCACTGCAGTATTTTTAATGTTCTATTATGTTGTTTTAGTATTTCCACTTGTCTGGTTTTTTGTTTAGGGACCTGAGAGTGAGGAGATTGTTGCTGCTTCGAGATTGCAAGATGATGTCAAGTTCTATCAAACGTCTAACCTGATGTTGCAAAGCTTTTCAGCATTGAAGCCCTAGACAAACGTCCCGCATTGGTCTTGTTGAAGAAGGAAGATGAGAAATTAAGTTATTTTGGTTAGTTTCTAGTAATTCAAACAGTTTTTGACCTCAAAAGAAAATCTATTTCATGAACTCCTTGTACAACCATTTCTCATGTCTGCAGATGGTCCATTCTCCAACTCGGCAATTGCTGAATTTGTGTCAAACAATAAGCTTCCTTTTATAGTTACTTACAACAGAGAGAGTGCTATGCTGATGTATGATAATCCAATCAAGAAACAGGTAAGATCTTATGCTAATGCCACTTCTAATTCTGTTAAGAAATTTCAATAATTTCTGTTATTCTGAAATGTCTGCTATTTTCAATAAAGTTGTTGCTTTTTGCTACTTCACATGATTCGGATACGATTAAGCCCACATTCCTCGACGCAGCAAAATCTTTCAAAGGAAGGGTTATACTCTTTACTCAGTTGTTCTTTGAACATTCTATGACTAAAGAAGTTTTAGTTCATTAGACCATGTTTCCTCAGAGAAAAAATCAGGCTGCAATGCATTTGTGTCAGGACTTTAGGCAACATTGCTACATCTTATTGTTTGAGTTGAAGTTTTATGGTCATATTTTCTCCATGATCAATGTTGGTAACAATGGTTTTAGGCTTCTGTTAGTGAATATTCTCTACAGAATGAACAGATTTTCCCATGATTTTAGGTTTTATAGTTTTGCAGATTGGAAACTGAAGAAACCGAGAACATACCTCATGTTTTCTCTCTCATATTGATTTTTTTGCAACTTATCAGTGTTATAATTCCTCTGAATTCTTTGCAGCTTGCTTTTGTCTATGTGGAAATGGACAACCAAGACAATGGGAAACAAGTTTTAGACTACTATGGTGTTTCTGGAGATTCACCTTGAGCGAGATAGCCATACGGGTAGTTTCCATTACATTAATATTCGTGCAGATCAGTGAAGTTAACTCTTGGATGATTGCTGCTTGCTTTAGGTTCTTGCTTTTAGAACTGATGATGACAATAAGTATTTAATGGATGGTAATTTGACATTGAGCAATATGAAGGTCTGAATTTCCTCTTACATCTTTTGGTTTTCTGCAGAACTATGGAATTAATATTTTGTTTGTGTTTCATATCTGTGGGCTTGACAGATTCATGGTATGTTTTTATTTTGTAGTCATTTACAAATGATTTCCTGGAAGACAGACTGCGGCCTTTCTATAAATCAGATCCAATTCCAGAGAAAGTAAGTTGTTGGGATTTCATTGTTCGATTGATTGACATGAACTTCTATGCCTGTAAATCTAACATTCCTTTGGATCTTTTATTGAGAATCAGAATGATGGGGATGTTAAGCTTGTTGTGGGCAAAAACTTTGATGAAGTTGTCCTGGATGAATCCAAGGATGTTCTTCTTGAGGTAGCTTTTCTTTATCAACAATTCAGCATCGATTAAATCTCAACTTCAAACTCATCATTCAATCTTCCTCCCATTGATGTCTGGTTTTGGATCATATATATGCACCATGGTGCGGGTATTGCCAGGCTCTTGAGCCTATTTATGATAGGCTTGGAAAGCATTTAAGAGGCATTGATTCCCTTGTCATAGCAAAGATGGATCAATGACCATCCCAGGGCTAAGGTACTCATGAAGAAATTTGCAAATTTTCAAATATTTATTATCAGAATATTCATATTTCATTTGAGAACTTTTTTTATTGATTTATTTAATTTTTTATACATTCAAATGTAAATGAATTTTTTTATGTTCATAATTTATTTGTTTAATTAATAAATCTTAAAATATTATTATCATTTATTAAATTTAATAAACAAATATAAACAAAGAAAAATGAGAATATTCCCGTTTCCCGAATGTTATGATAGTTTACACCCTAAAATGATGCATGTTTTAGATAATAAGGTGGCATTCTGGTTGTTTTAGCTCAGCAAATCCTAAGCTTAGGTACGCGGTATATTTTCAGAAAACTATTAAACAAAAAGATATTTTCAGGAAGGAAGAGGGCGTTATGGAAACAACAGATAATATAATTTATTGCTAAATGGACTATTAATAGAATGGAAAGTATCAATTAAGCCATTGGTTTCCTAAGACTATTGCTGTGTTTATCCTTCTCAGAATTGCAAGATCAATTAATCTTTGATATTTACGCCAAGCAATTATCCATTGAGTTAATTACATTTTTTTTATACTTAAACTTTCATAAGAGTTAATTACATTTTTTATACTTAAACCTTCGAAAAATATACAAATTGATACTCAAAAAATTAAAATGTAAAATTTGTATCATAAACTTTTAAATTAAGTATTATTTTAATTCAAATTCTAATTCATACTATTAATTTAACTTGTTTATGTAATATTTAATCAGTATAATTTTATTACATGCATGTTATATGTTAAATAAAAGTGTTAAATATTTTGTAAAATTTCATACAGATGTTATGTGACAAATAATAATTGATCAATCCTAAATAATTTTTACAGTTTAGGCAAAATTATATTTTTTATTTATATTGAAAAAGATGTTATTAGTATATGTGTTGAATACAAAACTTAATAATACTTATCAAATATGACATATATAAGTTGATATGATTAGTGAGATTAAAGTTTGGGTTACCATAATATATGATTCTTTAGGTGCTAATTCATATATTTAGGTATCAATTCGTATTAAAATTTGGGTAACATAATATATATTTTAATTCTTAGATACCAATTCGTATATTTTCTCAAAATATAAGTAAAAAAAAATATAATTAACTCTTAAGCATTACTAAGCAAAGCAAATTGAAGAAATGACATGAAAAAAAAAAAAAAAAATATATATATATATATATATATTCTAACTAGATCTGTGTCATAATCAATTTTAGATTCGTTTGTAGAATTACAAAACTCTATCAATCCCATATATTTGATAATATTTCATATAGACTGTTTTGATAGAAGCAGATTTGATAAAGAACTGGTTAGTTCCTATTTTGTTACTCTTTCTAAGTGGTATTAAGTCATTAAAATGATGGAAGCACAATGGTTCCATATTTCCAATCTCATGGGTTTTTTTTTTTTTTTTTTTTTTTTTTTTTCTACCATTTCGTGGCTAAAACGGCAATTACTTCTAAAGGAAACCAGTTAGTCTTAATTGACGACATGTTGGCTCCGGAACCAATTGGCAGTCAAGAGAGTAATTTGAAGATGAATGAACACCACGCCACCAGCGGCAAATTAATTCCTTTGAGACCCCCAGCACCATGTATAATTATTCAGCATACAACAAAGTCCCATCATAATTAATCCTCCAAAAGAAAATTCGCCGATAGTTGTTGATGACTAAGACTGATTGAGCCAGGTTTTCCTTACTACAGACGGTCTTCAAACGCTATTATACAGATGTGGAAAAGATGCCCCTTAATATGAAGCTATGAGAGAGCAAAAATAATTACCAAAATCATTAAGGAAAGGAGCCTTACGGATTGATCTTTTTGGAAGGACAAAATTTATATGAAATTTAATAGGTAAAGTTTGTAAAATTTTTTATTAGAAATGATTAAATAAAAATTTAATAAAAAAAAATTAAATTGATAGATTAATAAAATTCAATATGAAGATCAATAATATCTGTAAAAATTATTAAAATTTTTTTTATAATTCAAATTTGATCGAAATTTATTTAACGATAAAAATTTTATCAATATTTTTATTAAAAATATCTATTTAATAAATATATCAAAATTTATTAAAATTTTTTCAAAATTTATACAGTTAATTTATGTGATGAGATTTTTTAATTTATCAATTTTGATTTTCAATTTTAATTTTTATTTACTTATTTTTAATAAAAAGTGGCACGTATGTAAGTCTTTTTATCTTGGGTGTTATTTTTGTTTAAAGTTTCCTACTAATTATGGCAATAATGAACAAATTACAGAATTGGCACAATCTTTTAACAGTTTCAGTACTTTGATCTCTTTTTTGATGCATGGCTTTGCCACTATGATCTCTTTTTTTATGCATGTTTTTACCAAGGCAAATTGGTACGGGGAAAAGTTGTCTCTTGGAAATATTTCCCAAAATGGACTCGGTTATGGCTAATTTTGGGATATTTTGCAATCCAAATCTTATATGGTTAATTCTGAGAAAAAAAACAAAAAAATCAATTGGATTAAGCTCATTGATAAAACAAATGTTAATTTGTTTAGATATTAAAGTCTTATCTTTTTTTTTTTTCAAATTTCTAATCTTCTCTTAAATCCTCTTACTTTGTTATATATATGGCTGAAAATGATATTACGGGACTAAACTTTCTTAAACCCATAATTTTAAAATGTCAACTCTAAATAACATGTTAATTTATCCAAGAGATAGTCGGTATTAAAGTCTTATCTTTGATCAACTGTTGATTAGTTTAATTAAGTGATAAAGAGAATGTGATTTTTTTATTATTTGAATTCAAATTCGGTGAGATATTATAAAATTTTTTTTTTTTTATGAATTAATTAAACTCGATACATATAAGTTACTTGATCGGTCCATGGACGAAATGTGCTAAAATAAAATCCAAAAATCCTTTGCCACGAAATAAAAAAAGTCTTATATTTGACCATATCAACAGTCTATTGTCAACGTTTATGGCATCCAAAGCTGGGAAAAGAAAGAAAATTGAGAAAGAAAACAAGAAAGTTTATGAGAAATTGTATGGTAAATTCATAATCCAAGTCCTTCAAAACTTCTATATAACCAGGCCTTGCTGCCTGCAATTGTGATCACTCACCCCTACAAAAATCCCAGCCTATAGCTATAGCAGCAGCAATAGCGAAGTAAATATCTTCGCTAATTCCCGTCATTAGTTGTACAATCCACAACAATGAAAACTTTGTTCTTTATTGTCAAATTAGTTGCAATCGCTTTGCTACTATTTTTTATACTAATGAAGCCTCTTGAAGCTGTAGATAATCTGGGTCCGATGCCACCTATAGGCTGTGATCCATCAAAACGCAGACTCCTCGGTTCTCCAATTTGCAAACCACCTCCATAAGCCTGATATCCGCCGCTCTATGTTAGCTGCTAAGGTTCTCAATATAATATTCAACACATATATGGTATTTTTCCCTTTTTAAAAATTTTCTACTTTCAATAAATTTATAGATTGTATGCATGAGATGTTTCAATTGTGAGAGTTAAAATCTTCACTTTAGAGGTCTCTGTTTCAAATCTTACGGAAGAAATAATGTAATTTTTTGTTTTTGGAATCGGGGTCTCTTTTCAAATTGTCTTAATGTGCATTAATTTTATTTTCGAAGTACTTACCATAAAAGTCAAACCTGGTTGACAAAGAAAAAAGAGCTCCCTCAACTTAATTATGTTGTAGTTGCTGTATGTTGGGAGTTTCACATTCCTAATTAAACTCATGAAAATAAATACCAGGAATTTTTATAATATATATATATATATATATATATATATATTGAAGATTTACCATGGGCATTCATAATTTGGATTGTTCTTCTCATTAATTTGTTGAAGCAATAAAAAATCTAGAATCTCCTCCAATTGTCCTGGCAATGCCATCTTACAGAAATTATGAAGGCTTCAGCCACCATGAAACAAATCATATGTTGGCCTTTTTCCAGTTATCATCTCCAATAGAAGAATTCCATAGCTGTAAGTATCGCCTTCGGGAGAGGTCGGATCACCCACGCCATATTATGCGACGATTTGTTACAACTAATTACAACTTAGAGTTGTTTTTAGTTGCAGAATGTTCTAAAAAAATTAAAAGCCAAATGATTTAAAATAAAGTATATATTAAACGCATTGTCAAAATTAAATGTGTTTGGTTAACAAAATATGATTGGATGATTTGAAATTTACCGAGGCCGAGATAACCAATTGTTCCTTTGATGACTGAGGAAGTTGCTTGCTCACTATCCAGATTATTACATGCAGCTCTAGAAAGGAGCTTAGCCATCCCAAAATCACTGACATGTGCAACCATGTCATCATCTATAAGAACATTGGTCGGCTTTAGATCACGATGAACAATTAGCGTTTCACAATGGTGGTGAAGGTAATCCAACGCATTGGCCACATCTATAGCTATGAACAACGATTGATCAAAGTTCAAATATCGTAAGCCATATTGATGACCATGCAGCCAGCTGTCTAAACTTCCATTAAGCACGATTTCTAAAACTAGAGCTTTGAAACCAATGCTTGAGTAAGAAGTTATCAACTTGACAAGATACCGATGTTGACTTTTGCTTAAAGCCTCACATTCAACCGCGAAACACTTTCCAGCCCCAAGAATTTTAAGGTTCAATACTTTCACTGCAACGGGGTTTTTGTGTCGGTGAAGAATTCCTATATATACAGAGCCAAAACTGCCACCCCAAATGCAGTTGGAGGACGCAAAATCATTAGTGGCTTGAAGAAGTTCATTATATGATACTCGAAAGTAGCCAACAGGAAGCAAGCAAAGCCACAGGGATTTTTTTCCCTTCCAAACCATTTTATCCAACAAAGGAAAACAAGAAGCACAACCAGAATTGAGGCAAGTGGAATACCGAGGATGATAATAACAATGACTTTGGTTGACAAAACATTTCCCTTTTTCTTTGCTTCCTGATTGAAGCATTTTGGAAGTTTTATTTCAGGAATCTCCCCACAAGGCTCTTTGTTCCCAATAACGGAAAATTCGCTAACATTTTGGAAAACCCCTTTTTGTGGAACTTCACCTCCCAATTGGTTGAAGGAAAGGTTTAAACTCACTAAAAATGGAAGCTTTTGAAGATCAACCGGTATTTTGCCAGAAAAATTGTTGCCAGAGAGATCCAAGTTTTCAAGACCTCTTAGAAAGCCAAATGATAGAGGAATGCTACCTAGAAAGTAGTTTCCCTGCATTAACATGTTCAAGATTCTTAATGCAGAAATCCCACCAAGATTGCTAATTCCTTCACGAGCGCTTCCAGAAATCCGATTCCCTCCCATGTAAAGAAGATCAAGCTGGGTTGATAAATTAGCTACAGATTCTGGTAACACCCTACCTAATCTATTCTCATGGATGGCCAAAAGTTTCACCTGACTGCAGTTGCTTAAAGAAGAAAGAAAATCCAGGTCTCCCGCATTCCCAATTCCAAGGTGGTTATAGTCAATGGTAAACAGTTCAAGATTCTGAAGGTTTTCCATATTGTCAGGAACTGATCCACTGAATCCATTTGATTGGATGTCAAACTGTTGCAGACCATGGATATTAGTTACTGATCTTGGAATTGTTCCAGTGAATTGGTTATCTCCTATATACAGTATTTCAAGTTTTGGAAATGCAAAACCTATTTCAGGTGCAAGGTTCCCAGATAATTTATTTGTACCCATGTCAACATATGCCATGGAGGGAAGATTGTAAATTGAAGAAGGAATAGTACCAGACAGGTTATTTCGGCCGATAGCAAGTATTTTCAAGTTTGATATTCTAAGCATTGGGTATAATTTCCTCCAAATGATTACCTGCAAATTGGGAGTTTATTCAAGGATGAAAGGTTTCCAAAAGAAGATGGAACACCCCCAATCAAATTATTGTCAGCAAGAGAGAGTGTGGTGAGATTCTTCATATCATCATCACCAAAGTTGAAAGGAATTTTTCCAGAAAGGCAATTGTCATTTAAATTAATCAATTGAAGGTTTGGGCTATTGCTGAGCTCCACATGGATGTTACCATGGAGATTATTGTAACTTAAATTTAGAAAACAAAGCTGCATCAACTGCCCAAATTCCCAGGGGATAAGTCCTTGCAGCCTGTTATCAGATAGTTAGCCTCTCTAAGGAACCTTAAATTTCCTATTGAAGGAGATATGGAGCCACCTAATTTCATACTATTCAGTTTCAAACTGATTACCCTCTGCTGCTGCCGACCACATAGAACACCTTGTTACTCACAAAAGTGGAGAGAAGCATTCCATGAAATTAGTGCTCCGGGATCAGAACCATCAACAAGCTGATCCTTCAAGGCAAGTAAAGCTAGTCTGTCCGTTTCGTTCCCAAAGGCCAATGCAAGTTTGAAGGACACCGATTGGAAGGTGATCAGTTCAACAACGCAAAGCGAAAATTTAATCTGAATAATACATTTGTTTTTCAAGCGAGATTTATCCATTACTAGCTGGAATTATTTCAAAATAATAATAATAATAAGATTTGCAACAAGTCGTTTTGATTAAAAAACAAGAATATAAGGGATAGGAAGACATAACTGATTTATAGGAAAAGTCAACATGTGTTTCTAATAAATCTAATTCTCTGTGGTATTCAAGCCTTCGAGTCATAAAAATGATTTCAAAATCTGACCAAATTAAAGAAAAAAGGAAAGGAAAAGAAAAGAAAAACTAACTACCAAATATTAAAGAACAGCAAAAGAAATTTGGATCAATCCCATTCAAGTAAACTCAAGTAAGCCAGAACAGAGTTCTATCTAAGAGCAAAAGTCAATCTACAATTAATATAGAAAGTTTCTTGTCTAAATAGGAAGCCATTTAGTCTTAAAAAATGACATGTTGGCTTCGGAACCGACTGGTCAGACAGACAGAGTAGTTTGGAGATGCATCAACACCACCAGCGGCAAATTAATTCCTCTGAGACCTCCATTATCAACCATCTGTTATCGACGTTTATGGCATCAAAGTCATAACGTACAATATGGGGAAAAAAAGAAAATTGAGAAAAAAACAAGAAATTACATGATTGAGAAATTGAATGGTAAATTGGTCATCCAACTCCTTGAAAACTTCTATATATAAAATCAGGCCCTGCTGCCTTCATTTTCAATCACTCAGCCCTACAACAATGAAAACTTTGTTCCTAATTGCCAAAGTAGTTGCTATCGCTTTACTCCTAATTTTTATACTAATGAAGCCTCTTGAAGCTCAAGTTCAAGTTGAGGGTCCTATGCCACCAATAGGCTGTGATCTAATAAAACGGGGATTCCATCGTTCTTTGATTTGCATATTACCACCTTCATGAGCCTGATCTGCGCTCTCTATGTTAGCTGCTCAGGTTCTCAATAAAAAATTCAAGACATATATGGTCTTTTCCTTTTTTTTTTTTTTTACTTTCAATAAATTTATAAATTTCATGTACGAGACGTTCCAATTGTTAAAGTTTGAGATTTTTAATGATTTTTTTTCTTTTTTTGAAATTAACTTAATGATGCTTTATTTGCTATATGTTGGGAGTTTCACATCCCTAAACTTTGTATTTTAAATTGGCCTTTGTAGACACCCAATTTGGTCCAGGCCCGGATCAATTGGGCCTGGCCCAAATGGGTAAGCCCAATTCGGTTCTTATTTTGTATTATTATTTTTTTGTATTTTATGTATTTTATTATTCATTTATTATTACTATGTATTAATATATGTATATCTTTATTTATTTTTTTTTCTGTTAATATTTATATGTATTTTATTTATATAGTTATATATTTATTATTATATTATAATTTATTTATTATTATTATTATTATTTTTATCTTGTAATATTTTTTGGATTTATCTTATTTTATTTTTAATTATCTGTTAATTTTTTTTATTTTTTTCGTTTATCTGATTATTATTATTATTTTTTTCTTTTTTTTTTTTTGGGCTGTGATTGAAGGCTGAAGAATCTTACTGTGAATGGGGATTCAATCAGAAGAGTCCAGATTTGATTCAAAGATTGAATCCCCGTCCAAAGAGGAATTAGGATTGATCAGGAACTCCTGATCAATCTCTATAAAAAGGACCCTCTGGAACAGAAGCAATGAACAGAAAAAAAAGTAGTGAGCAAAGCTACTGATTTGAGAGAAAAGGGGCGTATAGAAGGCTAAGAAAAGGTTTAGAAGTGTTCTGGGAATTAGCAGAAAATTTTTGAAGATTTTTGGCGATTTTTTTCTGGGAATTTCTGAAAAATTCCATATTCCAGTTGAATTTTTCGATGAAATTTACATTTTTCGGTGAAGATTTCGGTCAATTTTGAAGTTTTCGGTGAGCTGCCCAGTTTTCGGTGAAGGATCACAGAAACCGACCAACTTCCGGCGAACTTCCGACCAACTTCTGGTGAAAACCTAGATTCCGACGAAATTTTTCAGAATCCGGTGAACATTCAATCGGAGTTTTTCGGCCTTTTAGAGAGAAGCAAGAGAAAAAAGGAAGAAGAGAGAGAGAGGGGATGAGCTTTCTACCGAAAAACAGAGGGAAGAGCCTTATATACCCTCCCAAAACGACGTTGTTTTTACCTTAAATGACCTAGAGGATCTGCGCGTTTTACCGAGATCCGACCCGACTCGAGCGTCGACTCGCTTCTTGACCTGCGCGTGTCTTCCCCCCTCCGAGCAGAGCCGAGCCGAGCCGTTTCCCGAGCCGCTCCAGGTTTTTTTCTTAAATTTTTATTTATTTATTTATTTTTTGGTTTTTTATTTATTAAATTAAGATTATTTGATGTTCTTTTATCTTTATGTTATTTTTATTTTTGGTTTTACCTTTTTTTATTTTTTTCTTTTACTTTATTATTTTATTTCCTTTTTTTTAAAAAAAATCCAAAAAAATAAATTTTCAAAAAAAAAAAAGTTTTTGAGGAAAAGTTGAAAGTATCAATTTTCCTTAAAAATAAATTTCCAAAAAAAAATATTTTTGGGGAAAAGTTGAAAGTATCAATTTTCCTTAAAAATAAATTTCAAAAAAATCAATCTTTGAGGAAAAGTTGAAAGTATCAATTTTCCTTGAAAATCAAAATTTCCAAAAGAAAAAATTTTTGAGGAAAAGTTGAAAGTATCAATTTTTCCTACACAAAAACAATCATTCTTTTCTTTTTATTTTTTTTATGTAAAATAATCCGACGATGGAGTCTCTGCAAATAAAACAATAGTTTTTCTTGCATACTCTTGAGGTGAAGAAATTTTCTTAATTTTTTGCTAAAAGTATTAGAGTCAATTAAGAATAATTTTCAATAGTTAATTACTTGGTAAAATTTTAAGGCTCATTGGATAACATAAATTTAAGCTGGTACCATATTTTGATGGGCGTTGTGGGGGTGCTATAACCTTCCTCACACGTAACCGAACTCCCGAACCCTGTTATGGTTAGCAAACCTAAACCTATTCTTTTAGGGACCCTTAAACTTAGGTGTTCCCTGAAAGGACAGATTCCTTAGGTGGCCAATCACACCTAGATAAAAAAGATTGGTGGCGACTCCCTTAAGTCAATGTCTATTGATAGATCCCCGGATCTAGACGTTATGACAGCTTGGCGACTCCGTTAGGGACTTTGAGAGTCAGGCTAGCAAATAATTTGTGTTATCCAAAAGCCTAATAAAATTGAACCTGTTTGTATATATGCGTTATTATTCATTCATATTTATTTACCTTGTTAATTATGTCATTCATATGCATGTGCATAACATGAGCTCTATACCCGAGCTCCGTCCCTCTAGGAGGGAGTAAGTACCTATTACTTTCATGAGGTCTAATGCCTCCGCAGTGGCTAGCGAAATACTCCCACTCAAATTGAACATTTTCCGCTTGTAGCCTATAATGGGTGAGGATTAGGGTGCCTTACTAGTCTGTGACGGACAAGGATGTAAAAAATAATTTGAGGACCTTTAGACTTTGACCTTAAAATCGCATATAGTGAACCTTAAGAATGCCTAAACCTAGGATAGAGCCCTTTCTACTCAATGATGATATACCCTGAAATTAAGACATAAAAAATGGTGTTTATCTAATCATTTTGATTGTTTAACTTTGTGTATCATTTTCATTATCATATGTAACATTATGCATCAATATCACTTTCATTTCATCCATTGAACTAACTATGTTGTTTGTCTAATTGTATGCATCTGCATTATTTTCATGATCATGTTTTAACACAATCATTTGCATCCATTTCATACTAGATTTCATTCAAGAAAATGTACATTTCATTCGTGCATCAAAGCATCATACAAAAAGCATAGCATAACATTTCTAATCATAAGTATGGTACTCAAGGTCCAAGGATAGCTCCGTCTAGCGAGAACCCTGCCCATCGATACAACACAAGATCCAGAGCAAGACAAATGGAGCAAAAAAATTCTCATAGATTTGAAAAGATAGAAAAAGCACAAGAGAAGATTGAAAGTGAGCTGAACAAGATTCTGGAGGCTCTTAATAACATGAATAAAGGAAAAGAAGTTGAAGAAAATGCAAGCCAACAAGTTCCCTCGTTGCAAGAAATGGCTGACCCTTTATATCCTTCAGGTTTTGGCCCACTTTAAGCCCAGTCTGCTCAAGAGGTCCCGCCACAACACTTCGCATATCCAACTTATCCTGGAATGCCATCAGCTTTTAACCTAGGGTAGTATAACAGCTATGTAAATCCTATCTTCACTGAAAAAGTCACAGAACCAATTCTTGATCTAGATGATTTAAAAGAGAAGGAGAAAGAAAAGATAAGAGTGAAAGTTCAGGAAAGCTCCAAGATTAGTATGCTAAAGCAAAGGTT